TTATTTTGTATTTTCCTTTCTTGAGTCATCTTACCACTTCAGAATTTCTTCCTTTTCTTGTTTATCATGTATGTTAAATTCCCTTGCTTACTGACAGTTGCTGTTGCTAAACTACTGTTTGCCAAGCTGTTCTGCTCAAAACTCATATTGAATAGAAAATTCAGACTTGTGTTAATACAAACGAAAAAGCCATAAATTTAATGATAAAGTTTAATTAATCTTTTATTATTCCCATCTTTGAAGCTCTGGTGATAAATTGCAGCGTTGGCCAAAAGCACTTCTAGTGATTCATTGCTTGAGACCAGCACTTAATGTATCATCAAAAGTGGACAGCTTTCTTTATTTCATGGGTTATTTAATTTGAGAAAGGGAAAGTAACACAAACCTTAAATTTCTTACTCCAGCTATTCTTTTTTAGGAGCCAAAGTCAACATTTATGTTTCCCCAGTGCCTCTCACTTTCACCGAGGAATGTTTAGAAACTTAAATTTCTACTTTTTTATGACGAGTTCTTCTGTGCAAATGCACTGGATTTGTTGAGCTAATGCTGTTTTCCTGGATCTTTCCTTCTTTTCCTGTCTGTGCTTCACTCCTTCCCAACTTTGCAATGTAGCAAGCTGAACAGTTGTTCAATCAGATGTACAATCCAGTAAGTCCTTTCTGAAAGTGCCCGCTGTAACATACGAAAGCATGAGGATCCATTAACCCAACACTGTGTTGTGTTTTTCCTCTGTGGAGCTTTGCAGAATGTTTCTGATGCCCACCTATTTCAGTTATGTCAAAATAAATGAGCTCTGTGGACTTCAAGGCTATTTCATTTGAACATGAAATACATTATTTAGAAACTGGATTACTAAAACTGCTAATTTCAAATGCCACTGCCTTCAGGTCCTCAACTTCTCCATTGTAAAAAGCATGCACAATTCAGTTGATTTTTGTTTCAATTTAGTTCTGTTTTTTAATGCTATGCTCATGGGGTACTTTTATTTGATCCTTCAAACTCAAAATATCTAATGATTTATTGATAATATTGTGATTAGAGCAGTAAGAGTGACTTTTTCTAGTATATTTTCTATAGTTGCAGCATGATCAAATTAGTTTAGAAGGCAAGGGATCACTTTTATTAGTGAAGGATTGTGCGTGTTGAGCACTTTCAGGTTTTTTTAAAAAACACATAAGCATCATATTTAGACAAGGAATGCTAAAAATATAGAACCATGAAAACAAATAGCAAAGCTTTTTTAAACAAGGAAGTATAATCATGTTTTCCTTGTTTAACATTATTGTCCTTCCTGATGCTTGCTTTAATTATACTGTATTCTTTTTTCAAGTTGAGGAAGAACAATAATAAACACTGCTATCTCTACTTCTTTCTCCACAGAGCTTTGTGTTTTTATTTTCTGGCAGGTACAAACTGCTGTTAGCATCACAGGACAGAAATAATACCTAACTGGATTGTACTAACATGCTATGTAGTAACATAGCAATTTATGACTTCCAGATTACATAGTAATTAGATTTGGAATTACCATGTAATTGCAATTGAAAGTACCGGATAACTGATTTTACATCATAACATATTATTCATATAGTATGCTATTTTATGCTGGGCAGATGCTGTTCATGGGACTTTTGGTGTTAGCTTCAGTGGTCCTCAGTTTCAACCTTATTGTCTGTTCCTCTGTTACTGAGTAATTTCTAATGATGTAATAGAAATGTCTTATATATTTATGGGGGGCTAGATCCCATAGAATGTACTATATTTTGCTTCCTGAAAACTACCAGTTAGTTTCATTTAAACTCAGTCAAAATTGGTCATACAAGAATGAAAAACCTAATTATATATATACCTTGCCATCCAACATACGATAGCAATAAAATTATTTTCACTCTACGTGATAGAATTGTTTTTCTATATGAGTTTGTGTCCTCTATGTGATAGGTTTATAAGCAGACCATGTACTTCTATACATCATCTACACTCCTCTAGTGCATATCTCTTGTTTATTGAGGTTTGTATTACAGTTTGCTGGCTCCCTTTGGACGATTTCCCTCCATTTTCAGCTTTAGTCATACTGTTGTACTAATTGTTACCTATTATCCATTAGTTTATTCATATCTAGTGTCCCATATTGGGCAGTTTTTTCTGCTTTAACATATTTATTTTTCACAGGGATCACCAGTTGAAAACACTGAATGAAAACTTTTTTATTTGATCTTAGGCAGAAATTAATTACAGTATATCGTCATTATACATCTCTAGTTATCGTCCCACTTCCCCTGTTCTGTTTTGTATATTCTGGAAGTGAAGTGTTTTTTTGTTTTTTGTTTTTTTCCCCCCTAAATTGATCTAAAGACTGGGTATAAAATGGTGAACTCACTCATATCAATGGCAAGATTCAAATCAACTTTTCTTAGGGCCAAAATTTCAGCTTTGTTTAGATCACGGGTGTCCAACCTTTTTGAATGTGGGGCCGGATCATGAACTTTTTATCACCCAGTGGGCCAGTGAGCCATATTCAAAGACCTCACAGGAAGCAGTATCACATCACCCCCCCCCAAAACGAAAGTACAGTGTTTACTTTCGTTTCCCATCGCAGCACTTCAGGCCTCAGAAAACAGGTTAGAGAGCCGCATGGCGGCCTGCGGGCCGTATGTTGGACAAGCGTGGTTTAGATGTCTTGATTGCAGTTACTAGTGGTAAGCCAACTTTGTATCTAATAAGTCATTAGACCTTCTACTTTATTAAATTTTTCTTCACCGTTTCATCAAATGATCATGATATAGTGGATGGCAAGCAACAGATATGTACCATTAAACTTTCAACTGTTTTTACATTAAACCTTTCTTTCACTTAAAAGTAAATTTTAAAGGAATCCTATTCCCCCTCATACTGGAGATTCCTGTTTTAGTAAAAAGGTAATAAGCCTTCTTGCTAGCTCAGAGAACTCAGGGGCATCCCCAGTTGTCACTTATCTGGCACTTTTCAAAAATCCAGTGAGACAGGCCAGTGTGTTTTATACTGCTAGGTCGTTTGCAGTGAAAGTGGTAAAAATGTAGAAGAAGCCTAAATCCTTTTTGTGAGGATATTTACAGTGAATTTAGTGGGATTGCTTGCACGATCAAGATTAATAGAATCTGATTCTTGTTCTAATTTACTCTTGTGTAGACAATGAATACTTTTTGAATTACTCAAGGAATGCCCTATGCTTATCAGGATTGGTTATAAAACAGTTACCTGATTGTTTTTGTCCTGTAATTGAAAATACTCCCTTTTTTGGTGACATTTAGTCATTGTGAATGCTCTTTGGAACATTAGGACTCGATTCTCCAAATGTTGTACAAGAGCAATGTAAAATCAAAATTCAAGGCACCTGCAGGGTCAACTCTAAATTGTGCAACTCAGCCCCAGAGGTGATGTCTTAAAATAACTGAAATTAAATGAGATACTAAAACCAGTCAATGGAGCAAATTCTGAAGACAAACTTTGAAGGATCTTAAAAAGTATTTCCTTGCATGTACACTTCTGCTTTTTCCTTTAACTTTTCTTTTATTAACTTATCAGTTGATTTTTTTGACTTTTAAATTAAGGCATATTATATCCATCCATCCATACTATGCAGAATAATGCATGCAGGATTGTGCCTATTTAATAAACAAAATAATTAAATTTATATGCGTGTAGTACAATATTTTGATATTGCTGTAGATAATTTCCTATTCATATATCAAAATTTACTTGCCTCTAATTGGAGATACAAAATAAACAAGCAGGGTTGATATAATTTTCTTTATTCTTTTGTTGTAAGAATTGGAGAAATTTAAATATTAAAGTGATATTCTGTACATTTTGGGATGTTTAGCAACAACAAAAAATTCATTACTGAAATACAGCACAGCATCAGCTAATAATTGAATGTAAATAGTATATGTTGTTCAAAATATAACCTTGTAATTAGTAGTAATTAATACCTGGCTTATAAATATTCATAATTAACATATTTTACTGAGGCACTGTTATTGGTAGGCAATAGTATTGTTAAAAATAAAAGTAGTATCACGCCCTCAAAATAATTCACAAGATGATATTAGCATTTACTTTGTGTATATAGGTGGTTTATGCTAATAAGAAAATTTAGTCCTAGAAGAAACATTTCAGATTATCTGTTAACAAACTGCAGAGTTCTGAATTACTCTTCCAAAACTTTGATCAACTTCTCAATTGTCAGTGAATTTGGACTTGCCAGAAATATTCAGAGCAAACGCTCTTGTCTCATATATGTCAGTGAAACTCAGAATTCTTGTTGGGCTGCTCCCATGGGGAAATACCTTAATAATGACGTATAATAAAAGATAGCGAGACTGGACTCCTAAATAATACAAAATCAATCCTACAGAAATTTCTGAAGTCTTATTTCTTTTTCTGAACTGTCAGCTGTGCTAGATGTCTTTTGACTGCTTAACTCATCTTTCTGAAAAGAAGCCAATCACTGCTTATCCAAGATACTGAAAAACCTGATTAGATGTCCGTTAAATTAAATGGAAAGATTTCCAGAGACTTCAAAGGGGATTAAATATAGCCATACTTGGTTTGATTCTCAAATGTAAGCATATCTGTCTCTTAAGTGCCTGATCCTAAATTCTCTCAACACTTGTTAACTGGAGTGGACAAAAGGGTGCAGAGATATGCTAAAAACATACAGTAATCACTAGGCCTTTGTTTAAATTGTGGGCCAATCTTGTAGCACAGTGACTCCTTTAAAATTTGAGTCCCCCCCCCCCCCCAAACCCCCCCCCCCAACACATCCCCCAGCCGCTGATTGGCTGAGGGCCCTGGCGGCCCTTCTGGTTGCTGCTTGCTCGTGATGGATGGGAGGTGAAAATTGCAGTTTTAAAAATGCCAGTTTTTGCCTCCTGCCACTTGTTGCTGACCAGACAGGAGGCAAAAACAGCAGCATATTTAAAACCGTGGTTTTCATCTCCTGGCATCAGGAGTGAGTGGCGAGTGGTGGGACTGATGAGGCTTCTCCGCCAATCAGTGGCAGAGGGATGTGTGGGGGTTACTCCAGGATTAAAGAAGCCACCATGCCACAAGCTGGGCCCACAGTTTAAATTAGGCCCTAGTAATCTCACCCATATATATTCAAGCTCCTAACAACAGCTATGTTGGCTTAAGTTCCATAGTACATTTAGACCATACCAAGAATACTTAAAACATGAGCATTTACTTATTAAAAGTTGTTAATTTGTGCTAAGTGGCCTGTCAGCAATTCAAAATTAGACCACTTCAGGCAAGGTTTAACTCTGGGCCATGCTATTTAGCTCATGTTAGGATAACTTCAGTCTGCTCCAGGGGGATAAAATGAGCAATTTGCAGTCCTCCAGCATCCTAGGATGCATTGCTTCTACCCTTCCTGCACCCAGAGCAGGGGTAGAGCCCAGGTGTCTTGGCTCCTAGCTATGCCCCTGCTTGCCAGCCCTCTAGTGGCAAGTCAGGGCTGTGCAGGCAGGAAATGGTATTAACCCTCAACCTGTAAACGCTTACAGCATATTTTACTGCCTAAAATTTCCCAGATTAAGTATGGTCTACGTGTAACATGTAACTTCACCTAATATTATAGTTCTAGTCTATACAAAGTGCTTATGTAA